CATGAATACACACACTGTCAAGGCCATAAGGCATCCATCCTGGAGGAAGCATTCAAATCATGTCTGTATGCTTGCTCTACCTCTATTCTCCCTCCCTGAAACACACTTACTCTCAGGGCTCTGAGAGCAGCCGTCACTCTCACTTCCTCTCAATGACTTGAGAATCACAAAGGAGGCCAGTGAGCTCTGTCCTGCCTGCGAGTCCAGATGTCACTTCACTGGCTGACTCCAGGGGTAGCAAAGAGCAATTAGTAAACTCCCCCGAGCACTGAGCTGCAGCGTTCCCTCTGTATGACACTGGTGTCGTAGTGATTGCTGCAGGGGACAAGATATTCAAGGAGACAGTTTGCACACACATGTGGACATACATGTATGCGTAATGACCGACTATTCATATAACCAACGCGCGCACCCCCCCCCCCCCCCCCCCCGCCCCCCTCCCCCCCCCCACCCCCCCCCCCCCCCCCCCCCCCCCCCCCCCCCCCCCCCCCCCCCCCCCCCCCCCCCCCCCCCCCCCCCGCCCCCCCCCCCCCCCCCCCCCCCTCTCCCCCGCCCCCCCCCCGCCCCCCCCCCCCCCCCCCCCCAACCAACCCCATCCTGTCCTGCCTCCCACCCATCACCCTCTGCCTCCAGACAAACTCTATGTAGGTCACTCCATGTGTTAACACAGCCACTCAATAAGAGGATTACACTGCTACCCCCAAGATGGCCATCTTAGCAGATCAATATCTGCATATATTTATCATAACAGTTATTGCTCTATTATTATTGCAGCTGTTAATGCTGATGTCAATAGAAAGTTGATGAAATCAGCTCCGTTTCTCCACATTTACCACAAATGTTGAGGATGCAGCTTTACCCACATTTCTGCTGATTCATGCTCGACTATACTCTTCACCTGACACTGCAGTCTAAATTACCATCATTTAGCACAAACATCAATTGTTGCATCAGTGCACTTTGCCGGCATCACCAAAAATGACCTCATTCTCCTCCTGGATGATGTTCCAGCTGGTGAGGCGTCTGTGCAGCTCGGGATGATATAGTTACACTGCTGTCCGCAGCTGGTCAGAACCCTTGGGCACTGCACATGCAGCGATCTTAATAATGAGCACCTCATGACATAATCTAACCCGCCACATGGCTGCGCCTGCTCCTTCTCACTCCCTCTCCCCCTCTCCCTTCCCACCCTCCTGTTACTGATCATTAGTATAAGGAAAAGAGAGGGAGGGGATGGGGGTGGGAGAAGTGATGCAACAGCACTTAACAAGACTGCAAAGTTTAAGAAATGAGAGGAGTGATGTTGGGTGATGATGAATTGTAAAAAATTGGTGTGTGTGCGCGGGGGAGAGGGAGTGAGAGATAAGGAAAGGAAATGAGACTGAAATGAGTTCACTGAGAGTGTTTGACTTTTTCTCAGTTTGTCTTGTCTTATTTTTTAATGTTGGTGAGAATTACAAACCAATCATGGAAGCGGGGCTATATTGTCTATCCTACTAGCTGGAGCTGCTCCAGTAAAAGTGAATGGGACTTTGATCTTGTATGCATACACAATGACCTTATATGATCTTAATGCATTTGAGTTTTCAGCAGAAAATATGCTGTTTATCTCACACATACTTATTGTATCATCTTCCCAATCACTTGTTAGTTGAATGAGAATCATCTAGTATCACAGATTCAACATTTCCTTCCCTGAATCAATAGCGATGATAGACAAAAGGAGGTGTTTTTCTGCACAAAATTAAACTGTTTTATGCTACATAGATTATTTTATTGTTTATCTGCAGTGGTGTGCCCCTTTAAGGCCTTAGTGTAGATGAAATCTGGTGAATCAGCACTATAGGCTGCAGCAAAAACGGCCAAAGACGTTCGCCTTCACTTGCCTGGTATCAAATCTGACACATTGTTCATTTCAAAATAATATTCCTCTGTGTAAAGATTAGGCCTTGAGTTGTGTATTTTTTGACAGAGATGCAATTGGCTTATGATAACTGGTGTGGGGTCAGTTATGTGTGAACAGCAGGAAGGTGCAGCCTGGTGCTGGGCAGCCAGAGTCGATTGTAGGTGTGTAGATAATGATGTGTAGTTATAGCTGGTGTGTGTGTGTGTGTGTGTGTGTGTGTGTGTGTGTGTGTGTGTGTGTGTGTGTGTGTGTGTGTGTGTGTGTGTGTGTGTGTGTGTGTGTGTGTGTCTGTGTGTGTGTGTGTCTGTGTGTGTGTACGTCCCTTTCTCTGTCTCTGCTCTACCCTCCCTCATTTTCGTTCAGTACCATCTCTCCCATAGCTGTTTATTAATAATGGAAAAGTAGAAGCTTCAATGTTGGATTTGGTCTCTTAATGACTCACTGACAACTCTCATATGTTCCAACATCAGGAGCATGTGTTGTGAAATTTTCCCCCGCCCTAATGACAGGAAGGAATATGGATATGAGGGCTTAGAAGTCTAACTTTGTGCCTTATAATGAACAATAAAGGTCATCCTGGATCCTGACTCAAAACTCTTACTGGATATCTCTGCCCTGGCACTGCAGATTTACTCTAATGCACTAAAGTGTCTCTGTCTCCTTCCCTTCCTCCTTTTGTTCTTCCTATTCAATTTAATAAATCTGATTAGACCTTATTATTGGATTGAAGGGAAGAGCAAAAGACCCACAAACTCCAGTTTAGATGAAACAAGATCCACTCAACCCCTCTCTCAGTGGTCTGGTGGCCTATATAGCCCCTCCCAGGAAGGATCCCCAAGGATGTTGCGTATGTGCATGGGCTTCCCCCATCACGTGCGGGTGGCTAAACAGCTTATAAACCTTGCCAAGTGACCCTGTGCTCCTCTGAGCAAGGAAGTCCCAAGATTCACTGAGAGCTGTAGTCTGTTATGATATGTAGGTGGTTTTATGTTTCGACTAAGTGCTCACATAAAGTGGGTCTGACATCGTGTTAGCGCATTATTATTTGGTAGATGGTGCACTCATACATCTCAGTGGGGGACAAAAAAATAAAAATCAATAGGACCGTCTGGCCAGCCTGTGCCAAGCCACCGGTCCCTTTCTCCGTTTCCATTCAGCATCAGCTCAATACAAACAATGCTTTGTTAATATTTGTTGTGGAAGGTAAGACAACAAAATATGAGAAAATGACACCTGGTAAGCTACACATATCACTGTGTATGACTTGTTGTTATAGTAGAAGCGCGCTCTCTGTGTCTTATCTCAAGCCCACCGCCCTTTGCTGGTGGTAGATGTTGCAGTCTATCATTACGGGACGGTGCCGCGTCCTCATCCTGTCAGCACTATAACCGGCAGCTCTTCCTCTCGTATCTTCCCAGGCATGGATCTACGCCACGGATGCGACGCACGGCCAACATCCGTGCGCCAGATCCGTGCGCTTGAACCGTGCGCCAGATCCGTGCCAAACCCTTGCGCCGTTTTGCCTGACCAGACAACTGTAGCCTACATTCACACCGATCTCGCCACACGTGCGGCCATTTTTTGTTACCCATCCGAGCCATTGTGGCGTGCGCACACTTATGACTACAACCCATCCGCTGAATCCTTCCTCGTGATATGCGGGGGGGAAAAAAGGGGGAAAGGACGCGTGCCGACTCCACAATAGGCGCCCAAAGCAAACTGATTTCTGCCTGAATAACGCCTGTTCTCACAGCGGAGCGGGCTCTATAGGGGGCAAACCTTCCCTTCTGTCAAACTCTGCTGCACCTCAAACACGGCAAAGTGTCTTTGTCTCCCATTTGAACGCCACGGGATGAATGAACGTAAAATCTTCACATCGCAAAAAAGATCACGAGCCGTGCCTTACCTGTGAATCGTGCGTGTGAGTTCGCGGTAGTCCACCGACCGTCCCGGTTGGACATTCAGACCCCCCTCAGCTGTCTGTCCTGGTCCCGCAGCAGACTACCAGAGAACACGATGCCAATCAAAGCAACACGCCCCGCCTCCTCCCCTGACGTCACAGAGATTAGACCAATGGCAACTAAGGTTCAACCCTCGTCTAGTGAATACATATTGTGTTGTGCATATAGTATTTTCCCTCTATCATACACTCGTTCATTCACATAAATAGGCTACATTTTAGCAGCTATAGTTTAGCATAATTTCAACACAGTGTAGTGTATGGCTATTAAATCAGGCTTCCACAGAAGCAGGCTACAAACACAATTACACAAGGCCACATTTATGCTAACACCAAGAGAGAACTATAGCATAAGGAGTGAGGCCCCACAGCTGCCTACAAAGCTTCACCAGACCCTATGAAGTGTCCACATTTATTCTTCATCTACTCTCATCTGAGAGTTTGCCTCTGGGACAAAGTGAGACAGAGGGTGGTGAAGTGTTGAATGGCTATTTCAAGTCTTCAGTTCATGGTTCAGTGTAATGCAATGGCCATGTGTTACTGTTTTGTAGTAACTGGTTCCACACTGATGGTAAGATGTCCAACCACTTCATGAGTAGAAGTAAAACATGTGAACGTTTCTTCCTTCTTTGGGGTAGGGCTATCTCGTTTCCACTGGAGACTACATGTCTGCAGTGTCTCCTAACTGCTTGATTTGTGCTCTGTGGGCTGATTTGATGTCAGGTTGCGGTAGACTAACCACTCGAGTAATTGCAATAATGCTCCTGAAAATGTCCTTTCTCCCCTCATTTACTTTCAGAGTAGGTACTTATCCTTATGGCCACAAGAGAGCGCCATTAGCTACCCAATTGGCAGCTTCAAATTGACTGATGTTTTCTGACCGTATAGGCTTTTACTGGCCCATCCATGCTTGTTAGACCCAGTTTAAATGTGCTTCTCCTGCACTTGTCCCATTATCCAGTCTCATAGAGCTACATTAGCTGGTTTCAGCAGGGAGGGCGAGGTGTGGCACAGCAAGTCCAAACTTGATCTCATCATGAGGGAAGACGTCATGCAAACAGTGTTTGAGATGTCTACTATCAAGTAGATGCCAAGAAATCCATTCCTTCAAACAATTATTCTTTAATAGCACAATTATACAATACAATCAACATGCCCCTCCCCCACTTTACATTAAGGTTTCACAGATGATAACTCTGAATAAACTATTTACAATTTTTATGGCACATACTGTAAGCAGTTTTGACAGTAGCTGATGGTTACGGAGGAGGGGTTGAATATAAGTGGCAGCTCATGGTGGTAAAAGGGGGCAGAGGCAGGGTGGTGTCTTGGTGTAGGAGAGTGTGAAGTGACAGATGTGTAGAGGTCAGAATGTCAGCAGCGGCGGGGCGGCAGTGAAGTGTGAAGCCAACACTGATGGCAGCATCACCACAATGACGGGTCATATCTGGAGAGAGAGGAGGAAATGTCCAGGGTCAGCTTCCTGTGAAACTGGAAAAGTTGTTCTCAAACTCTCCCAGCAAACACGCAACAGACGCACATACCTTGACTGTGGAAGTGTGTCTGTGCTTTCCTTCAACAGCAGCTCTGAGACCAGCGTGTCCAGAATCTCAGGGCTGGACCTCTTCCCATACCTGAGACACATAGAGAGACAAACAGGCAGAGGGGTTATTATTTGTCAATCTGAGGTGAAGCACAACCTTTCGGTTGTCAAACGAAAAAAGATCAAAGAAAAAAAAAAGAAGAACTTGACTTGAGCGGTCACAGGAAAATAAAAAACTGATTCTGTTACTCTGTATATCCTTGTGTCATATGTCCAATTACAAGCTCAGTGAATACTGAACACCGTCAGGCCGAGACTCAGCAGGCGCAGTCAGGAGTTGCATCGCAGGTGGTCATATTTCCTTTTCTGTCCCTCAGATGATAAGCTGTGCCGGCGTGCTTGTCCCCCTGGGGCGGCTAAATGCCTGCAGTGGCATCCATGCCCCTGACATTCAGAAGAAAGCTGAAAACTGTGGGTGATTTGACACGGCATGCTGGCTGTGGCAGTCGTGTCTCCTCAGGTTTTTTTTTTTTTTTTTTTTTTTTTTTTTTTTACAGGTGGTAACTGGCCAGCAGGTGTGTCCTGCTCTGTAACTAGTGAGAGGGAAAGATTTAGGAGGTGCAGACCTGAAAGAGTCAGACTTGCAACTCCAACAAGTGGCCTAATGGATATACTCCCCATTTTGTTGCTGTATTGTCAGGCAGCCTAACTAAGGTATGACCATAACAAAGACATGAAATACATGAAATACACATTTTTTCTGGGGAACCCCTGACATTCCAGCCAAGAGGATAAACAGTCTGCCAAAACTTAAATACTTAATTCCTGTTTATTACAACTTGGAAATGGCACAGTGTTAAGGAATTTAGCAGAAAATGGTGTAAAATAGAAGAATATACTGAAGCACCAGTGAAGTTACAAGCATTTTTTTTCTTCTGTAAACTACCATCTCATTATATGCACAAGTTTTAAACACAGAAAAATAAAGCAGATTGGAATACAACACTGTGGCCGATGGACAACTATAATCATCAATTCAATTATTTGAGGATGAAAATTATTGCGAAGTAGTCAAGTCTTCAAATCAAATTAAACCTGAACTCAAATTAACTTTTAAGTGCACACTCATTCTGTTCTGTTGAGTTCTTTGCTTTGTTGTTCTCACAGGGAGGTGTAATAAGTCCACCTACCTCTGTCTTGTGATGAGGTTGATGTAGTGTCTCAGTGCTGAGTAGTATTTGGCCAGTTCCTCCGCCGGGGCGTCCTCCCCGGGGTTCTCCGGTTTCACCGGGTATCCCTCCGTCAGGGCGCCCAAGCAGAGCAGCGCCCACAGCAGGAACCCCAGAGTCCCCAGCCAGCTCACCAAGTTAGGCTGCATCTGGCAGAGCAATGTGAAAACTGTTGGTCTAACTCGCATTTGTTTCACTGTGCTTTAAATTTCCACTTTCAGTTTTTAAATGAATTATTACCATTTACTGAGCTAAGACTTATCATTGTTAAGCTTTGATGAATTAATTTCTAGTTGGTCTGAGTAAAAATATGCAGACATTATTATAGTGGTAGAGCTCCACTAATCACCAGACTTTTGCAGCTGTTTTGCCCAACATCACCAATCAGGTAGAGAGACTTAAAGCAAGTTTATAATTTTATGTCAATATTTTTGTAAATGAAATCGCAAAATACTTACAATTCCCAATAAGTCAGGGGGAGAATTGTACGCTGTCCTTAGGCGTCTCTTCTGCTCTTCTGGGCGCTTGGAGTGCGCTGGGTTTTATATCCTGTGCGCCAGACGCGCTGCAGAAAAACGCGTCAGAGCTGCGCCCGCTTAGCGAAAGTCTCTGCCTTTCCTCATGTGAACGTCACAGCTGATGCTGTCATTACTCTCTTTTTTTCTTTTTTTTTTCTTTTTTTTAAAGCTTTTGTTCCATTAAATTAAAAAACGTAAAATAACATTGCAAACTAAAAATAGAGTGAGTTAACAAGCCTTGTTTCCAGTGAGACCCAGAGGGACCAGATGAAGACGTTTTTAAAGAACGTGACCAATCCAACAATTACATTTCAAGATACTGACCAAATAAGACAACCCATATCCCTATTAGAACATTACATGGATAATGCAGTAATTTCATTAATAAGTTCACTACTTAGTCACTGTTGCACATCTGTCATGTATTACTCCTTTGGAAATAGAAATTACTGTGCTGTCAATGTAACAAATATTATATTCTATGTCTCAAATGCAGGTGTGTCCATAAACAGGCACATCACACACACATCTGCCACACACACCCTCATTATAACTGTTGCATTCAAACATTGTCAAATAGATTAGTACATACAAGCATAGGCTACAGTGTGATGTTTTGGTGTTTATGAGGCTTCTCTATGAGCAAGACAGTGATAGATGATTTCACAATCAACTACTGATTCTTCTGCATAATGAGATCAATAATCCCATCTGAAGTCACAAAAGAATGGCAGTAATGTAACACTGTGGGCGAACTTCAAATGAGTCTTCAATAGGCGGCCTTCTTACCAAAAGAAGCTCCTGTGACGGCGCCTCGGGTGATCTGGAATAAAAAGATCTCAAACAGACTCATGTTCACGACTGCTTTTTTGACATGCTGTTTGACTGAATCAGTCCACTAATTTCATCTTGCAGTTCATTCCATCAGATGGAAAGAGTGACTGGGACACTCATCTCGAACAAAAGGCGTAAAATGTGAATATCGAAACACGTCAGCCAAAGAAGAGCCCAATCTCCAAGATACCCACTTAATAAGAAAACCCAAATAGCACTTCAAATGAATCTGTATCACCAAGTGCTTCATTTACCTCCTATTCATAATCCTTTTGTATACCAGCTCGCAGCCATGTAATCCATCAAAATCAGTATTCTTCAGCAGAGCTGCTTTTTAAGTTGCGCAGAGGATGTGTTAAGGGCTTTTTGTGTCACACAGGATGCTAAGAGGGAGATGAGGAATGAAATGAGAGTGAGAGAGTATGAAACACAGAGTCATGACCGAATCATGATGAGCACAGGCAGGAATTAGTACTTCTAGTCCTCTTCAGGGGATACATGCACACTCAGTGACTCACTTCAATAGGTATAACACTTTTTTAAGCAAACAGCTTGCGTCTATGTAAGTGTCTGACATGTGAATGAAATAGATGCATAAAGCACCAGGGTAAAGCTGAGAGGTCAGTTAGTGTTAGTGCATCAACTCTAGCATCTTAGACACAAGTGACGTCTTAAGATTTGACCAAATGTGCATCTTCTAAATTCAAACTCAGCAGTCATTGAGACAGACAGGTCATGTCGTGTTATACACACGTCAGCTAACAAAAAAACAAGGCTAAGAGACGTCAGCCATGCTAGCATCTTTGTGAGACTGTACTTAGGCACATCGCTACTTTAAGTTAAATGCTAACATTAGCTTGGCGACATGCTAACATTTGCTAATTAGCACTAAACCCAACTGAGTCTGATGAGAATGCTGCAGGTTTTACATGTATTTTCACCTAAACCAAATGGTTGGGTAAAGTGAAGTTTTGACCTGATGGTGCCGCTAGATGAAGAGTTTAAGCATCACCAAAGTTATTACAATTCACTCTAAAACACTCCTCAAAACCTCAGAGGAAAAGTCAGAGGGTCACCAAAGGGATTAGGATTCATTCTGTTAGTTGTTGATATATTTTAGCCTGGGCCAAAGTGATGGACTGGCCTACTAACCCCAATTGCCACCCCAAGAGCCAGGCTCTTGGCCACAAACCAGGGAGTAAAATTGCCTGACAAAACCTTGTTTAGAAATTTGGCATAAACAACATGAATCCATGGATCCATCATGCATAGTGTCAACAAGATGCACAGTCGTGGGAGTAATTGTTGGGGGATGTTTTCTTGGGCTCCTCAGTACTAGCTAAGTGTCACCTAAATGCTGTTGCAGACCATGTGCGTTTCTTCATGGTCTCTCTTTACCCTTTCCCCAATACTTCAAAGAAAATAATGCACCACTGACTTGAAGTGGTTCCACCACAAAGTGACATTTATTTCAGTTTACTCACGTAAGCCCTCGCAGGTCCTTGATCTCAACCGGAGGTGGAACAAAATGTTAACAACAGATGAATCCCTAACTAAATATGCTTGTCACACAGTGGATTAAGAAACACGCACAGACAAATCCATGTCTTCAGGGATACACTTCACCTGTTTAGATCAAATGCATTCTTGCTAGCAGGAGTCAAACAGCCTATAAACAGTCAGAAAGAAAAGCTTAGTAGATAGTTCAGCGTTGGGAAAATTAAATAAATCATCATCATAGAGACATTTATCATCTCTTCGTCTTACATCAGTGTTGCTTCTGCTAACTGATCGAAACACTGACTATTTCCTGAAAGGTTATATGTTTAGCATACCATTAGTGAATCAGTACATTTAATTTTGAGACATTAGTAAAATTATTGTGAACAAATCACAGCTTCTGTGTAGCATTTTTCACTGCAAATGATCAGTGCGTGAAGATGGGTTAAAGGATGAGGCTGGTGAGTATGTTCAGTGTTTTTCTTACTGTCAATTAAAGTCAGTTTTTCATTCATATAGCACCAAATCACAACAGGAGTTATCTCAGGGCACTTTTCAGTCGGCCTCTGCCCCCTGCGGTCTAGACCGAACTCTTTACACAAATCCCATGAAAAGACTAAAATGAGCAACTGCTGTCTGTGTAGCTGAAGCGTGATATGGCTTATCCCTCTGTGCTACAGAGCTCCGCTGTCTTCCAAACACCATTAAAAACATATCAAGGAGACACACTGTCACACTGGGTGACATGTTCCTTTCTTACCATAAATATGGGCACCATAGTTTGTTTTAAATCAGTCCCACTTACACTACCCTGATGATGGCAGGTGCAACATTTGTGTATCAATCTACAGCTGAAAATAGTCCCAAGCAAATGCACAATGTGCTCCTATTTGATGAATGTTTGCTTAAGCCTAATGTGCCCAGTTAGTTTAGGAAATTATTGATCTTTTTTGAAACTCTTTAAAAATGTATATCTTCAGTAGGAGTAAGTTGGCCTGGGAAGACAGGAATTAGTGAGAGATGGACTAACATCCTTTGAAGTGTTGAAAGTGAGTTAAAATATGAAAACAAGAAGCATTAATAAAATGTTATCAACAAAATAATCTTAGGATGCTGCCGTTTTGGAAGACATTTTTCCAAAGACATCTTCTTCGCTTGTTTGCAGCTTTACTGCACATACAATGGATTAGTCCATGTTTGGGCTGGTATCAGTCTCAGCCTGTATCTATCCATTAAATATTTACAATATATTCTATAATTAAAACGTCTCAACCAGGTCAGATTTTGTTGGAAATCTGATGGATTTCTGTATAGCATAAAAGAAGAAGAGGGCAGCACTCTTCTAGCTCAAGGGGAGACAAATAATAATGGGATGTTGCAAATGGGGTTCAGGGAAAGTATGGCCACTAATTTTGATCAACATCAGCACTAATAATATCAATGCTATTAGAAAGATAGACACCAATCATCCTCAATACAGTCCCGGTTGTTTATGCTAATTATACCGATCAATATACTCACAATTAATGTAACAATAATATATGGTTGCTCTAAATGTAGCACCTTTAGGTACAGAAGAATTTCTTGGAGCTTGGTTTCTCGTTACCAGAAATCATTTCTGTGGAGTCCTTTAGAGAACAAGCTGTTTAAATGCAAATTTGTTTTCTCCTCCTCTTATCAGCCTCCTGGTTTGGACAATAAGTTCTCTCCCAAGATTTGTTGAGATGAAAAGGCCTGTAATTTTCTGCTGCTGTGAATCACACTTTTCAAATTTACAGTGCGTACAACTGTAAAAGGAAACACTGACAAGCAGACTGCCTGTATCTTTTCTCTCAGGCAGTTGCATGCATACGGACCGGGAAGACAAATGAAAACAGGCAAAATCTCGTACAGCTTTGGTTCTTTTCTTGGCTATTATACTGTTTTTACACACAACTCTGACATCTAAATTGTTGCTTTTGACTACACTATTGTGCTACGGCGACAATCTGTTACTCCTGGTAAGCAAGGACTACTATTAGATAGGGCATCGGCAGCCCCCTTGTTTGCCTTCGTGGGTTGCAGCTTTAAACTGAAGGTGATTTGAGTCAAGAGGTTTTGATGTTAGGTTCATGTTGGAGATTTATGGGATGTTTGTCACTGATTCTTTTGTGTTAATCTATGTTGCATTAGTGTTACACAAAACAGAAAAAATCTACTTCAATACCGTTTCTGTAATTTGCATAAATGCCTTAAAGATAATTAGATTGTTTTCACAGAACTGGTCTACCACCAAAGATGTTTTTGCTATCCACTTCTCTGAGCTGTTAGCTATCAACACTTCAAAGAAGCAGGTCCCCAAATTGTGCTTCTTTGTTTTGGCTTTGACATTAATTGACAGCCTTTGCAAGCAATTACTGAACCATATAACATCTCAGAGAACACACGCTTTTCTCCACTTTCAGTTCAGAGTATGTACAATGCTGACAGCTGCTCAATGAGGGAATAACAAGAAATTAATGTCCTTTGTCGTCTTTCTCATTTGTTCTTCTATCACTTTAATTAAGCCCCCACAGCTGTAAGAGTCACCAAATCTAGTCTCTAGTGTCTTAATTGACCTGTCTTTACCTTTTCTCTCAATGTTCCTTGCTGTCGTCTGCAATCTCAGTGA